AGACTCTTGTAGGTAGTTATTTATATTTATTGCATCTGTATGGTAAAAATACTAAATAACAATGTTCCTCTAAGCATGTCTTGCAAGCTTCCCACTCAGAAATTTCATGCTGGTAGCTTGAATTTGTTGGGGGTGAACATTTTTATACCACAGAAATTGGCAAATACTACAAATAAGGACTTTCTCTACTTCAGAGTAGGTTAGTTTTATACTTATCAGCACACCACTGATTATGCCTAACCCCCTCTGCCAGATATTCCTATATTGTTGGCCTCAAGTAAGACATGAGTGTGGGAAATTTTTAAAGGTATATAGATTATGTTACTGTGCATTCAAGATTTAGAAATGTGAATCTAAATGAGTTGCCAGGTCATCAGTTTAGTTCAGTTCAGTCACTCAGTCATGTCTGACTCTTTGCCACCCCACGAACCACAGCACACCAGGCCTCCCTGTCTATCACCAACTCCTGGAGTTCACCCAAATCCATATTCATTGAGTCGGTGATGCCATCCAACCATCTCATCCTCTGTCATCCTCTTCTCCTCCTGCTCTCAATCCCTCCCAGCATCAGGGTCTTTGCAAATGAGTCAGCTCTTCACATCAGGTGGCCAAAGCATTGGAGTTTCAGCTTCAACATCAGTCCTTCCAATGAACACCCAGGACTGATCTCCTTTAGGATGGACTGGTTGGATCTCCTTGCAAGGGACTCTCAAGAGTCTTTCCCAACAGCATAGTTCAAAAGCATCAGTTCTTCAGCACTCAGCTTTCTTTATAGACCAACTCTCACATCCATACATGACCACTGGAAAAACCAGAAGTAGAATCATTTGGGTGTGACTCACTTACAGAGGCTTGACCTTGTAGTTAGAATTCACCAGCAAGCCAAGATGATATAAGCATTGATACTATTCTTCAAGGCTTCTGGAGGTGAAGTTTTGATACTTTTGCTTGTTTTTGTTAGAAACAAGTAGAGGTGGTAGCTGTGCGTGGGATTCTCCAGGCAAGCATATTGGAGTGGATTGTCATGCCCTCCTCCAGGGGATTCCCAATCCAGGGATTGAACCTATATCTCTTAAGTCTCTTACATCGGCAGGTGGGTTCTTTACCACTAGCACCATCTGAGAAGTCCTTAGAGGTAGGCCTCAAGGCAAATTGTTACATAAAGATTATTGTCTTTTTCTTAAGAGCAATGCAAATTCATTGAAGGGTTTTAAGCAGTGACAATGCAGTTAGATTGCGTTCTTAAAAATATCATTGTAATAGGGATAGAGTAGGATAAATAGTTGGTTTAGAAATCCCTCTAAGTGATTAAAGACAGAAAGGGAATTTTAAGGGAATCTGGGGAGACTGTTGTAAACTACTGACCACTCAAGAAAATAATCTAGTAACCTGGCAAAAATCCACACTACCTTGAAGAAAGACCAGGTGCATCTAACACCAGGCACACTCAAGCCACAAACTCTGATTGTTAAAACACAAGACAATATATATAGGGTCTGAATCTTGTTATTAATACATGGAGTCAGGGAGTTAATGGTTCTTGAAAAGTAGCATTTCTGCATGTAGCCAAGACAGAAACACAGGTGAAAAGGGAAAGAAAGTAGGTGAAAGGAGACATTAAACCAAAACCCGAGACCACTTACTATGTGGTGGTGGTGTAGTCGCTCAGTTGTGTCTGACTCTTGACCCCGTGGACTGCAGCCCACCAGGCTCCTCTGTCCATGGGGTCTCCCAGGGAAGAGTACTACAGTGGGGTGCCATTTCCTCCTCTAGGGGAACTTCCTAACCTAGGAATTGAACCCAGGTCTCCTGCATTGCAGGTGGATTCTTTACTGACTGAGCCACCATGTCACCATCCTTCTAATAATATAGATCTGATTTAAATAGTGTCATGACAGTCCCCATTAGAACATATAGGGTCAAAGGAAGAACTAATGATACAAGCCATGCCGTCTACCCAAAAATGAGGAAGAAGATGATCTTCTCCCCTGCCCACTTATTCTTTAACTCTAAAAAAACAAAAGCCCTTTTTTTTCCCTCAGGGCTGTGCTCCCTTGTTGGCCTGCTTGTAGCTCTCACAGGAATCCTATGCTTATATGAATTCACTCTTGTCTATCTTTGCCTCACATTGAATTCTTTCTGCAAGGAGACAAAAGAATCTGAGCTTCATTAAGTCCTGGCACAAAGTGAGCAGTTTCAATTAAAAGACAGTGGATTTGAGTTCCCTCTCAAGTTAGGGACTGTAGGTTCAAGCCCCAATATGAGGTGTGGCTGAGTTTGAGTCCCAACCAAGGAGTGTGGTTTCAACTCTGCATATCATTTGGAAAAAACTGGAAGGTGGCAAGAATATATGTAGAGACTGCTGGGGGAGGTTATGACAATAATTTAATTCTCTTTCTCCCATCCTGAGAGGATGGGCTTCTTTCTACAACAGACACTCCTAACAGCATAATTATCACTGCTAAGCCTTTCTCTCTTCTGAGGCCTCTTTCCATTAATACTGCCTGAGAAATAAAGTATTTGGCTTTTCCAGCCTCTCTTGAAGCTGGTGGTGGCAGTATGACACAGTTCTGGCCAGTGAGATAAAAGCAGAAATACACAAGAAAAAGGAAGGCTTCTAGAAAACATTTACTTTCCTGATAAATGAAGGAGATGGAACTGGCGCCCAGAGTTGGGACAGGTATTATGAGGTCCTGTGGCAAGAAACAAGAAAAGGCTGAAAAAAGAATAGCAGAGTTGCCAATTCTGATTCTCATATGCTTATGCCACAAAAGCAAAGCCAAAAGTTATCTACCTTTCAGTTTAGTTCAGTTCAGTTGCTCAGTCATGTTTGACTCTTTGAGACCCCATGGACTGCAGCACACAGACTTCCCTGGCCATCACCAACTCCCAAAACTTGCTCAAACTCACGTCCATCGAGTCAGTGATGCCATCCAACCATCTCATCCTCTGTCATCCCCTTGACCTCCTGCCTTCAATCCTTCCCAGCATCAGGGTCTTTTCCAATGAGTAAATTCTTCTCATAGGTGGCCAAACTATCAGAGCTTCAGTTTCAGCATCAGTCCTTCCAATGAACATCCAGGACTGATCTCCTTTAGGATGGACTGGTTTGATCTTCTTGCAGTCCAAGGGACTCTCAAGAGTCTTCTCCAACACCACAGTTCAAATGCATCAATTCTTTGGTGCTCAGCTTTCTTCACCATCCAGCTCTCACATCCATACATGACTACTGGAAAAACCATAGCTTTGACTAGACGAACCTTTGTTGACAAAGTAATGTCTCTGCTTTTTAATACGCTGTCTAGGTTGGTCACAGTTTTTCTTCCAAGGAGCAAGCATCTTTTAATTCCATGGCTGCAGTCACCATCTGCAGTGATTTTGGAGCCCAAAAAAATAAAGCCTGTCACTGTTTCCACTGTTTCCCTATCTATTTGCCATGAAGTGATGAGACCAGATGCCGTGATCTTCGTTTTTTGAATATTGAGTTTTAAGCCAGCTTTCTCAATTTCCTCTTTCATTTTTATCAAGAGGCTCTTCAGTTCCTCTTCCCTTTCTTCCCTGGTGGCTCAGATGGTAAAGTGTCTGCCTACAATGCAGGAGACCCTGGTACAATCCCTGGGTCGTGAAGATCTCCTGGAGAAGGAAATGGCAACCCACTCCAGTATTCTTGCCTGGAGAATTCCATGGACAGTAGAACCTGGTAGGTTACAGTCCATGGGGTTGCAAAAAGTTGGACACAACTGAGTGACTTCACTATGCTTCTCTACTACTATTGATATTTCTCCTGGCCATCTTGATTCCACCTTGTGCTTCATCCCGCCCAGCATTTCACATGACGTACTTTATATACAAGTTAAATAAGCAGGGTAACAATATACAGCCTTGACATACTCTTTTCCCAATTTGAAACTGTCCATTTTTCCATGTCTGGTTCTAACTGTTGCTTCTTGACCTGTGTACAGATTTTTCAAGAGGCAGGTCAGGTGGTCTGGTATTCCCATTTCTTGAGGAATTTCCCACAGTTTGTTGTGATCCACACAGTCAAAGGCTTTGGCATAGTCAATAAAGCAGAAATAGATGTTTTTCTGGAACTCTCTTGCTTGTTTGATGATCCAATGGATGCTGGCAATTTGATCTTTGGCTCCTCTGCCTTTTCTAAATCCAGCTTGAACATGTGGAAGTTCTCAGTTCACGTACTGTTGAAGGTCTGGAAGTAATGTAAGCTCCATGTATATCTACCTTTAACTTCCTTTAATGTGGAAAAACTGTCTTCATTTAAGCTAATGGTAGTTGGGTATTCTGTTACTTGTCAGAAGCATTCTGTTACATAGGCTAACACCAGAAAGAAGAGTTCATCAATCACTTTTCCTATAAATATTTTAACTAATCCTTCATTGTCATCTCAGAGGAAAAGATATCCACACCACACTCCAAAGCAAATGTTCCTCAAGGAAATAGCCACTTCTTACAGTGCTTTAGTCAACCACTATTTCCTTTTTGATCTTCACTCACATAATCCTTTGTATTACCTCATGTTTAATCTTCTACCTGGAATGAGTCTCTCCAACTTGTTCTCCTGACAAATTACTAATTATCTTTAAAAACCCAATTCAAAAGTCAATAATGTTCTTTATGAATGTTCTCCTGCTTTTTACTTTCCACCTCATAGTAATCTTTTCCAAGTGTTCCCATCACATTCTACTTATGTCTCACTATGGAATTGATCACAGTATATCAAATTATTTGTCTCCTGAATTAGAAGCTAAGCTTTTTTAAAACAGGGTTTGTGATTACTGAGGCTGTTGGTGCAAGGGAGTCACTTGAGAATTTTTAAAAATATATAAACATTACCCTGATAATTCTCATGTAGCTGTTGCACAAGCCAGCATTTGGGAATGATTACCATAGTTCTTCTTGTCTCAAGCACCCAAAAAATAATGAACACATTTGCTAAAGAAATAATGAACTGTTACTTAAATAAAGCATTGGATTCTCATTACCTGTAAGACTAGACAATCTTTCCCGTTTAAAGGATGGTTCTTCTAGGTCTTCTGCCATTGATTCAGTAGTGGATACAGTTGACTTAGAAACTGTGCTGCTTCCTAAAACTGACCTTCAGCAATTAAAAACAATATTATTTATTCATATGTCCTTATGGGCAATTAAATGTATAAATTAAAACTATCAGATACAGAGAAATCAAATACACTAATCATATAAGCAAAAGTGATAAAAATAAAGTAATTCTTTAAAAATTAAGTTGATGATTACTATTCTTTAAGTAAAAGTCTTAAAATCCTTTTGTCTAAAGTCTATGTCTAAAGTCTTTCAATGGATTCCCAACGGTATGTTTAGGATAAAAATCTAAAATACAGCCTATCTACTGAGATTCTCCATCTTATCATCATATCACTATTTTTCTTTCTTTTTTTTTTTTTTAAGTTCCTCAACCTTATGGAGCTCTCTTAACTCAGGGCCTCGGCCTGGAATACTCTGCCTTTAATTTTCACCAGGTTTCTGCTCATTATTCAAATCCCATCTTAAATGCACTTTTATTCAATTTGATAAATGTCCTCTCAAGATTTAATTTAAAATAGAGTTTATATATTTGGTGGGAAATCAATACATTGAAGAATCCAAAAATAATTTCCTTTAAACAGAGGAACTTAACATTACTCCATGACATTACATACTTTTTCCTTTCTATTTATAGTTTCAACTGGCCTCCAAAAGGTTGGGCTGTTTATTGGAACATCCTTTGTTTTGCACAGAACTCCCATGGCATCTCTATGCCCATTTGGAGGTAGATTCTAGACAGCATATTTTCTCCTAAAATTTTGTGCCTAGTTAACATCTGCAACTTTTAATTTGTCAGATTGAAAGTTACACACTAAAGTACTTCCCCATAATCTTCAGATTGTTTTAGGAGTACTGTTTTATTATTGCAAAGATCGAACTTCTCTATAGGAAGCTCTAAAATTTTTCAATTATGTAAGTATCTATATATGTAAATGCAAAACCTATGATTTACCAAAAAAAGTTATAAAACAAGACAGAAATCAAAGCGTAGGAGAATAAGGATTTATATGGAAGAATAGGGAGGGAAAAAAAGGGAAGCCCCTAAATTACAGCATGAAAGAATCAGAAGAAAACTAAAGAAGGATGTCTGTAATGCTAGGTCCCATCTTTTTGGTTCCTCAGGAAGTCTTGAGTAAAATCTATATTTTTTTTCACAAATGTGTTGGTAGGAGCATAGATGTAAGCCCCACATCTAGTTAAAACATAAGACGAACACAAGAGGTGGTTCACTAGGATGAGAGAGCAGAGCTGGCAGACAGGACAACTGACATCTAACACATGTGCGACCTCAATGAAAACATGTAATAAGACATAAACAGAATGAAGCACAGAATAGCATACTCTACCTGGTAAACTGCCCTAACATACTAGGATTTATTGTATTCTGATAAAGGCTATAGGAAGCTATAAAGTCTGATGTATGTGATCCGTCTTGTGAAGTCAATAGCTTATTTGGCTTTCCTGTACTGGAATATGGATCTGGACGGTAAAGAGGTCTGGGAGTAACATCAACTCCATTTATATCAGTCACCTGTAGAAAATAGTGATTTAAAATAAAATAAGTAAAAAGATGGGGATTCTGTATAACAAGTTCTAAAAACAGAGATAAAAATGGTAGAGAAAAAGATAAAGTTTGTAGGATAGGACAAACATGAAAAATTGAATGATAAAAGATTTTATGCTTAAAAAAACTTCTTACTGAGGTAATACAACTTTTATAAATCTCGTTCATGTTTTATCTATATACAAGTAATACATATTGATATTGAGAAAATTAAAAAATGTAGAAAGATAATTCAGATTTTAATATTTTGGTATATTTAATTTTTATGTATAATCCTGTAAGAAACCCACAATTTTTCATTTAACATTTTATTAATAAACATTACCCAAGTTACTACACATCTTTGGCTTATATGCTTTTGGCTAATTTTCAATTATGAAATTTAACACATACAGAAATGTAATAAAAACATAACAATATAGTTATAATACTTATAATTATATAATGATAATTATAAGAAAGCAAACATTCTTATAATCGCAACTAAAGTAAAAAATTAGAACACTGAAAGAATCTCTAGGAGATTTTGCTCCTAGACAAAAACAGCTCCGCTGGTTTTTGCTCCTTCTATATTACTGCCTCTCCCTCCCTCCCCAGTGAATATCATTAACTTGATTTCGGTAGTTATTTTCTTTCTTTTTTAAATAGTTTTTTAAAATATGCATTCTTAAATAACAGCATTTACTTTTCAAAACTTATATTGAACTAATATATACATAGACTTACACACATAAATGTATAGCTTAATATATTTTCATAAACAGAAGACACCCAGGTACCTACCATTCAGACTTAGAAAATTACCAGCATCTTAGAAGTTCCTTCCATAAGAGTCTCCATCTCCTACACTAAAGATAATGATTATTTTGACTCCATGGATTGGTTTGGCCTGGTTGTAAACTTTATTTTGATGGAATCAGGAAGAATGTACCCTTGGTATCTGGTTTCTTTTGTTCAAAACTATATTCACATTTGTGAGAACCATTCATATGGTTCAGTAGAGTTGCAGGTGGTTAATTTTCATTGCTGTGCAATATTCCACTGTGTCAATATATCACAATTTATTTATTGTTCACAGATTTTCTGTAGTTTCCCAAGTTTTGGCTAGTACAAATGACGCCACTATTAAGATGGATGTGCATGTGTTTTGCCGACTATATTGTATGAATTTATGTTGGGTGTATACCTGAGTGGGATCCCTGGGTAGTGAATTATTTTTATGTTCACATATAATAGATACTGCTAAACGGTTTTCCTCCCAAGTGGTTCCCACCAACAAAGTATGAGAGAGTTCTGGTTGCTACAGATTTTTGTTAGCACTTAGTATTTACCTAGTTTGGTAAGGCAATTTAGTTTTTAAAATTCATAATAGTCATATATTATGAATGAATTATCTGACATCTTCTGTTTAGCAGCACATTTTTATTTATCTCTCCATATTGTTGCATGTATAATAGTTTATAATCACCAATAATTCATTGGTGATTGGTTGTGTCTGTTGGATTAGCATATCATATTTTATTTATCCATTTTACTTTTAACTGACACTGAATTGTTTCCAGTTTTTGGCCATCATGAAAACTGTTTCAATAAATATTTATGTAAAAGCATACTGTTACACACAACAATGCATTTCTGTAAGGGACAGATAGATGTGGAATAGATGAGTCAACATGCTTAGGTAACACCAAACTCTTTTCCAGGTTGACTGTAAGCAGTTCATGATTATCAGCATTGTGACAGTTGCTGTTATTCTACATTCTCATCAAAAACTAGCATTGTTAGATTTAAACTAGTATGGGTATAGGTATACAGGTATCTCATTTTGACTTTTTCATAAAGTTGAACTTCTTTTCATATGATTATTCCCAGTCTGACTTCTATTTTTGGAGGAAAATGTCCCATACAAGTCCTCTGCACACTTTTCTATTGAGTTCTGTCTCTTTAAAATTTATATTAGTGTTCATTAAATGTCCTGCAGTCATGAAATTAAAAGACGGTTGCCTCTTGGAAGGAAAGCTATGATAAACCTAGATAGTGTAAAACACTAAGATCAACATTCAAAAAACTAAGATGATGGCATCTGGTCCCATCACTTCATGGCAAATAGATGGGGAAACAATGGAAACAGTGACAAATTTTATTTTCCTGGGCTCCAAAATCGCTGCAGATGGTGACTGCAGCCATGAAATTGAAAGACGCTTACTCCTTGGAAGAAAAGCCATGATCAACCTAGACAGCATATTAAAAGCAGAGACATTACTTTGCCGGCAAGCATTCGTGTAGTCGAAGCTATGGTTTTTCCGGTAGTCATATACAGATGTGAGAGTTGGATCATAAAGAAGGTTGAGCAGTGAAGAACTGGTGCTTTTGAACTTCGCTGTTGGAGAAGACTCTTGAGAGTCTCTTGGACAGGAAGGAGATCAAACTAGTCAATCTGAAAAACAATCCACCCTGAACAACAACAAAATGTTTTGACTATGAATCTTTTCTGTTTTATGTGTTGCAAATGTCATCTTTCACTTTACGGCTTCATTTTCCTTGCTGTTGTTCAGTCACTCAGTCATGTCCAGCTCTTTGCGACTGCATGGACTGCAGCACACCAGGCTTCCCTGTCCTTAACCATTTCCCAAAGTTTGCTCAAACTCATGTCCACTGAGTCGGTGATGCCATCAAACCATCTCGTCCTCTGTCGTCCCCTTCTCCTCCTTCCTTCTGTCTTCCCCAGCATCAGGGTCTTTTCTAATGAGTCAGCTCTTCACATCAGGTGGCCAAAGGATTGGAGCTTCGGCTTCAGCATCAGTCCTTTCAATGAATATTCAGGATTGATTTCCTCTAAGGTTGACTGGCTTGATCTTGCAGTCTGAGGGACTCTCAAGAGTCTTCTCCAACACCACAGTTCAAAAGCATCAATTCTTTGATGTTCAGCCTTGTTTATGGTCTAACTCTCACATTCATACATGACTATTGGAAAAACTGGAGAAGGCAATGGCACCCCACTCCAGTACTCTTGCCTGGAAAATCCCATGGACGGAGGAGCCTGGTAGGCTGCAGTCCATGGGGTCGCTAAGAGTCAGGCACGACTGAGCGACTTTACTTTCACTTTTCACTTTCATGCATTGGCGAAGGAAATGGCAACCCACTCCAGTATTCTCGCCTGGAGAATCCCAGGGACAGAGGAGCCTAGTGGGCTGCCATCTATGGGGTCGCACAGAGTCGGACACGACTGAAGCGAGTTGAGAGAGAGAGAGAGAGAGAGAGAGAGAGAGATTGGAAAGACCACGGATTTGACTATACAGACCTTTGTTGGCAAAGTAATGTCTCTGCTTTTTAATATGCTACATTTTCTTTGTAGTATCTTTTAATAAAAAGAAGTTCTTTTTCTTAGCACAGTCGAATTTATCACATTTTCCTTTATGGTTTACACCTTAGATGTTTCATCCAAGAAAACATTCCCAATCTTTAAATTATGACAATATTTTTGCTTCTCATGTTTAGAACTATAGTATACCTGGAGTTGAGCTTTGTGTATACTATGAGAAAGCAAGCCAATATGTTTTTATTCCATATGAATACCCAATTGTTTCAACAAGAATTTTTGAAAACCCTATTATTTTCCCATTACTCTCAGTTCAGCTCAGTTCAGTCCCTCAGTCGTGTCCGACTCTTTGCGACCCCATGAATCGCAGCACGCCAGGCCTCCCTGTCCATCACCAACTCCCAGAGTTTACTCAAACTCATGTCCATCAAGTCGATGATGCCATCCAGCCATCTCATCCTCTGTCTCCCCCTTCTCCTCCTGCCCCCAATCCTTCCCAGCATCAGGGTCTTTTCCAATGAGTCAACTCTTCAATGGGGTGGCCAAAGTATTGGAGTTTCAGCTTCAGCATCAGTCCTTCCAATGAACACCCAGGACTGATCTCCTTTAGGATGGACTGGTTGGATTTTCTTGCAGTCCAAGGGACTCTCAAGAGTCTTCTCCAACACCACAGTTCAAAAGCATCAATTCTTTGGTGCTCAGCTTTCTTCACCATCCAGCTCTCACATTCATACATGACCACTGGAAAAACAGTAGCCTTGACTAGACGGACCTTTGTTGGCAAAGTAATGAGAAACGCTGGGCTGGAAGAAGCAGAAGCTGGGATCAAGATTGCCGGGAGAAATATCAATAACCTCAGATATGCAGATGACACCACCCTTATGGCAGAAAGTGAAGAGGAACTAAAAAGCCTCTTGATGAAAGTGAAAGAGGAGACTGAAAAAGTTGGCTTAAGGCTCAACATTCAGAAACTATGATCATGGCATCTGGTCCCATTACTTCATGGGAAATAGATGGGGAAACAGTGTCAGGCTTTATTTTTGGGGGGCTCCAAAATCACTGTAGATGGTGATTGCAGCCATGAAATTAAAAGACGCTTATTCCTTGGAAGGAAAGTTATGACCAACCTAGATAGCATTATTCTCTAGTGTACATTTATTATAAAACAAGTGTTTAAATGTGCTTGAGTCACTTGTAGACTTTCTGTCTATACCTTTGTTAATGTTACAGTTTTTATAAAATTTGTTACCTAGGAGAGTAAGTCCTTTCACATGGTTCTTACTCAAGAGTATCCTGGGGACTTCCCTGGTGGAACAGTGGATGAGAACCCACCTGACAGTGCAGGGGACACTGGTTGGATCCCTGGTCCGGGAAGATCCCACATGCCGAGGAGCAACTGCGCCCGTGCTCTAGGGCCCACGAGCCACAACTACTGAGCCCGCATACCACAAGTACTGAAGCCTGCATGCTCTGGGGCCATCAAGACACAACTGAGGAGACCTTGTGCCACAACTACTAAAGCTCGCGTGCCCTAGAGCCAGCAAACTGCAACTAATGAGCCCACGCGCTGCAATTACCAATGCTCACGCACCTAGAGCCTCTGCTCTGCCACGAGAGAAGCCACTACGATGAGAAGCCCGTGCACTGC